GAGGGAGGTGGACGGGGCGGAGGCGGTGCCTGTTTGGGTCGCGGTCGGCATTTTGTTTATCAAAATGCCAGCTGCGGCGCGTTTGCGCATGCGCAAATGCATCGCGGCCGGCATTTTGGAGGCCAAAATGCTGGCCGCAGCACGCTCAGTCGCGCGCCGACCAAAACATGCTGCGGAGGCACTGTGGTGGTGGCGGCAGGGGTCCGCCTGGGCCAGTAAATCCAGCGTTCTGGGCCGGAACCAGCCCGCGGGCTATAGGTTGCCAACCCCTGGTGTAAAATGTCCCTGGATCTTGGAGTGTTACTTTTAAAATGTAATTAATTACAGTTATAACTCCAAGCACTCCTTTACCATTATAGCTGTAATTATAGTTGGTCCTCTCAATCCATGCATTTTTCATCCAAGGATTCAACCATCCACAGCTTGAAAATATTCAGTAATAATATAAATTCCAAAAGCAAACCTTGTTTTGTCTACTTTATAGACGTTATCACACGTGGGCCAGAAAGCGAAAATAAAAGTGGAAATGAGGCATTACGAAAATAAACTTGCTTCTGCAAACGTCATTACCTTAATTGCGAATTTACAGTAAGTGCAAAGAACGTCCACACACAAGCGAAAATATCCCGTAAAATGTAGTAGAAATGAGCCTCTTGCACATGCGCAGATAGAGGAATGCTCGCGGGAACCATGGGTAATGACGGGGAAATGCTCCCCAATACGTATTTGGCGATCACATTTGTGGTAAATGCAGAATCACCCTCATTGCGCAATTGCATTTCCTGTAGAAACCGAAATTCAAAAGATCTCGGATCATTCCACTTGCTGTCGGGGTTCTGTCGGGGTTCTGTGCGACGTCGTGTGAAAACACGGGCCAATAATCTGGTATTGTACGGGATTTTGTGTGGATTTTGTTTGGATTGGGCCCCGTGTGATAACATCCTATGTAAGGGATACCATTTCACTATGCTGTTGTGTTTAATGGGACTTGAGCATCCATGGTTTCTGGCATCCACGGGGGAACCAAACCTTACTGTTACAGCAGGGGTGGGCAAAGTGTTGCCCATGGGCCACATGCAGTCCCCAGGAATGTTTCTGTGGCCCCTGAGGGTATTGTTTTTTGGGGGGTTGCCATGTGCCATCATGAGAAGAGAGGACTCTTTGGAAAAGACATTAATGCTGGGAAGGTGGAGGGAAGTAGGAAGAGAGGAGGGCCCTATGCCATATGGATGGACTCTATTAAGGAGGTCATGGTATTAAGGGGTTGCAGGAATTAAACAAAGCAGTGGAACAAAGCAGGGGTTGCAGGAATTAAACAGAGCAGTGGAGACATCTTGGAGATGTCTCATCCATAGGGTTGCCATGAGTTGAGATCGACTCAAGGGCAGTTAACAACAACAAAACACCATGGATAGGAACCATGGAGCCCTACACATTCCAGCAGCCCTTGCCAGCATAGCTTATGATAGGGAATGCTTGGTTTTTTAAATTCAATGTCATCAGGAGAGTTGCATAATTCTGACCTCTGTGTTAAAGACTCTCTAAAGGATCTCTATTTTAATGGCTGTCCTTCAATCCTGAGCCAACCCAGGTTTGTCTATGAGAGGCATGGATACTTACCACCAGCATTTTCAGTCTCTTTCCTTGGTTTACTGCAAGTATCTCCCTGCTGTCTCTCTCATTTTTCAGTGTGGCCAAGTGATGCTGAAACTGCCCCTGTCAAAAGCAACACACAGAGGCCATTAATGCCTTAGAAAGTTAATTTTTCTGAGTCCCATTCCTTTCTTTTGCATCATACACTCTGTGTAGCAATGGAGTGTGAGGTACAGAGTATGCAGTTCACAGGGTACAGTTTAGAATCACAAAGATCCCTAAGGTGTTGCTGGATTACAACTCCCAGCAGTGCTAGTCAACATAGGCAATGGTGAGGTATGCTGGGAACTTCAGTCCAAAAAAATCTGGAAGACCACATTATAACTATTATAGGCCAAGAGTAGGGAACCTTTTTCAGCCTGAAAACCAAATTCAGTATCACAGTCAGATTGCTTTTCAGCGATGGCAGTTTCCTAGCTTTCGTATGGTTCCCCCCCATTCTAAAATCTTTTATTTATTTATTATCTATTTAAACTTTAAAATGCTTAGTCACTGGCAGTAAGAACTTGAAGCTAAAACATAAACTGACCCTTTTTGTTTCCACTCTTTGGCCCTGTCCACCACATACAGAGCATCCCATGGACAGCCAAACAGACAAACAAATGGGTCCTAGAATAGATCAAGCCTGAAATCTTCCTAGAAGCCAAGATGATAAAGTTGAGGTTGTCATACTTTGGTCACATCATGAGTAGGAATGAATCATTAAAGGTAAAAGGTAATAATAATAATAATAATAATAATAATAATAATTTCTATCCCACCCCTCTGCAATGCAATCGGGGCGGCTTACAATCATAAAATATCACAGCAATAAAACATCAATGTCAACACCCTAACTCACCCACTCCTTAAAAAAGTATTAAACTAATCACTTTTAAAAATATAGTAAAACAATAACAAAAAGGAGGAATATATCCAATACAGTTTTGAGGCAGATTGGGTAAAGATATTCCCCATTGACGAGGTTGTCAAGTCATGTCTGACCATAGGGGTTGGTGCTCATCTCCTTTACTAAGCCAAAGAGCCAGCATTGTCAGAGACTACTCTGTGGACCTTATCACATGCGGGGCTCAAAGCGGCAAGAAGCGATATAAGAATCAATCCAGAACTATACCGGTAGAAACCCCATAAGACGGAAATGGCTATCAGATGCAACTAGCATCATTGCACAATTAACGAAAGCGCGATAGATGCGCTCCTGGGAACCGTATCTG